ACTTCCTGTGACACCGATGACCTCCAGATAAAGCTGTAGCGCTTCTTTGTTGTAGGTTTACTGTATTCACAGGATTGCATGCCTTCCTTTTTATTTGATAATTGTTTGGTTAATGTGCTTTTTACACTACAGTTGGCTCGAATGGATCCACTCGGGATGTTAGAGTAATCAGGTTCATGTCTCGAACTGCTTGATGACTGTGGTTTTTTACTTGTTAGATGAGTAACATCTAAAAACAAGAAAAAATGAAATTGAAATTGAAAACGAAATCCGTGTTTTATATAATTTTATTAACTTTTGATCTTGAATACTGTTCGTTCTCTCCATATGTTTCATTGACAGTCCTATACAATTATCAAAAACATTGTCGAAAGTCTATTTCTCTACAAATATAATTGTGTCAAACTAACGTGAACGTTAAAAAGCGCCTACTGTTGATTTGTGTTTAATTCAAGCAATAAAATATATTTATCCATTATCCATTTTTCTTCATTGTGACAAGGAGCATACGGAAGGTGTGTCTAGTAGGGTATGCTCACTTCTCAATGGCACATGGTTTTTGAGTTCCGGATTTGCTCTTCTACTATTTTGGTTGATGGGCTTTTGATTTTGAATACTGTTCGTTATATCCATATATTTCATTACTATTTATGAATGTAAGAGATTATGTTAATATTTACCATTTGTTCTATTCATCTTGAAACATTTTCTGCAAAATTAGAGAGAAAAATATAATATAAAAATGAATCTTTAAATATTTACAAATTGAATTATTGAGTTAAGTTTAATAGATTAATCTTCCAACTGTAATTTTAAAAAAATATTTTTAATCGTTCAATTTTCATATCAAAACATTCATATTTCAATCATTCATGATGATAACAGAGATGATACAATTTGAAAAAATACATTAAAAGACGTTGTACAAAGTTTACACAACAAAAATGAATTTATACTTACAGGGCTTGAGAGAGGTGAATAAAGCCAATAGAACCACACAAAATGAGCAATAAAAGAAAGGTCACCCCTCCTATAAGCCACGCGTTCTTCTTCAGAAAGTGCTCTATCTGCGTCTCAATGCTGTTGTTCTGGGTGTTGTTATCTACTACAAATAGATATTCTATTTTATCATAAAAGATGGAGATAAAGAAAAGCATTCAAGATCAAACGTCCATATTTCTTCTCTTTTTTTGACAAGAAAGATGTTTAATTCAGTGTGAAAATAATGATCAAGCTTGCAATTTTAACATAATGAAACATTTTGCATTATCTTTATTAACGGGAAGAACAACACAATTGCTTTATTAATTAAAGGCTTGAAAAACTCCTAACTTCCATTGACTACAAAATACAAAGATAGGTTTTTAAAATTCGAACTTATAATTGATACACTTACGTGGACATCTTCCCGTGACCTCATTACAGTTGTTCTTACATTCAAATGGACAATCATTCCTGCAAAGCTCTCCATAAAACCCAGTAGGACATGCTTGACTGCAGTTTTCCCCAATTTGACCAGACCTGCACACTGAAAGAACACAGTCGTTTACTTTAGATTCCGTTAAATATAAGAGGGATTAATTACCGTGTAACTTACCGAAAAGTACCGATCGTGAAATAGAATTACTAGTATGCTTTAATTTTAATGTTTCTGTCCATTTAAAATCTCTAAATCAATTGTTCACTCGCGAATTATTGTTCTCATAATTTCATGTTTAAGACCCGTTTGCAATATTACTTGCGTAAGAGAGGGAATCTAAATTATTGAACATACAAACACTTCAATATATAATAGATTAGAAAAAATATATACCTGTACATATCTCATTATGAAGAAAATAGCCCGCACAACATCGCATTCTGCAATTAAAGCAGATCTTATTCATATGTAAGATCCGTTTATCTTTTCTGAATATATAAAAGAGAGACAAAAAAGACAAACAAACTAGCTGTTTGTCTTTCAGGTCTTACCCACACATGTTAGGATCCGGGGTGACAGATGACACATAAATTTTAATGAAGCTTGGGAGAAGTATAAGAACAATTCCATCCATTTCCCCCACAATATACGAAGTAAACATGCACAGTTCCTGTTGTTTTATTTCATATTAATTTTTGATATGTAGCAAACAGGAAGAATACGCGGAAAAATGAGCTTTGTTTTTTTTTTTTTTTGGTTTTTTTTTTTTTCGTTAATTTAAAAAAAAATTGTTGGATTGTAGAAATTGTTTAACATTTATTTGATGGCATTTGAAAACTTAGGTAATTCCAGAGCTAACCCAAAAAGTGAGAATAGATATTTTGTCTACTTTGATCGACTGATGATATATCAGGCTCAAAACAAAATGTAAATCAATTCAAAATTCAATCCTTTATTCTAGAAGTTGTGTGATTCAGATTTGCATTATTAAAAAAATCGAAAGAGTTTGCAGAAAATTTATATCGACATTTTTCTTTAAGTTAAAAACATCGACTTTTACGAATCGCCCGAAATATGGCTGAAATTTTGACATCAAATTCAACTGTTCCTTCTGTAAAAATTGAACTCGGAAGGAAAATTTGCTATCCTTTGTTTTTGTTTTCATCAACAAAACCCTTTTATAAAACAAATCATTCTGATTTTACACATGAGTACTCTGAAAGTGATTTTTAAAAGATGCTAGATTTCCTTTTTGGCAAAATTTATGTACTATTCCGGGAATGATCATTCAAAAAGACTATTGGAAATCGGATGGGCACAAATGTTGATGGTTATTTTAACCATCTTTTGATGTTAAATCAGAATTTGAAAAAAAGAATACATACACTGAAAAAAAAATTAGTGAAAGTCACTGGGAAAACAAGTAAAGAACTGCGAACGATAGTATTGTTCTCCCGCCTACCTCCAATTCAATTTTCAGAAGTTAACATATTCAATGATTTTTTAAATATTTTTTATAGATAATTATATGGATTTTCATAAAACATTACATATTTGGGAAAACAAAGAGAGATAACTCTAAAATTTTGGTAAAAACTGTGTTTTTCACTATAGAAATCAATGGAAAAAGGAAAATATTTCTAAAACATCTCCCCACCCCCCCCACCCCCCGTGTCACAAAAATTCCTTTTTACAGGTAATATGGAATGGTATTTCACAAATTCATACCAAAGCTTTTTGTGTGACACGGGGGGGGGGGGGACATATGTTTATTGACAAAACAACGAAAAAAACTGCTTATTTTCCACCATTTTCAAAGCGATATACAACTGAAACATTATATTTTATTGATACATTTATGTTTTACTTATTTGCCTTAAACATAAGAAAAGATATAAGGAACAGTTAATCATATCCAAGACTATTTAAAAATACGGTGATGCTTGAATCTCCGATTTCAATGGAAAATATGGTCTACCCCCCTTTTTTCAAGAGCTGGAATTCTGGATAATTTACTGTTTAGCGCTGGTATTAGGACGATTTATCAATTACCATTAAACTGTTCTTTATATTAAACAAAGATTTGATGACCAAATTGCTATTCATATTGAATTAATTGGTTGCAAAATGTAGGCGGGAATCGAGAGTTTGCGTGCGTGTTTCTTTACTGTCCATACAATCACTACCTCAAAAGTAGTTTTACTGGGAATTGGGTAGATTTACTAGATAACATTAGTAAATCTAAGAACTTATAAGTAACTTTCACTAGGTATTTAAGTATCTTTACGACCACTACTCCACTTTTCACTATTTTAGCTAGTAAACAGAGTGATTACTAATCGCTCAGAACGCTTTACTAGGCACACTAGTTAAATCAACTAGGTATTTCTTTCAGTGTAGGAAAAAGAAAGCACAAGTTTTCTGAAGTATTCAAATTGACATTTAGATAAATCGATGATGTATTATAAATAAAGAAAAGTTACATCCCTTTATATGCCAAAGAGTATTCCATTGAACTCATATTTAGATATTTTTGAGAAAAATACGTTAACGGTTATCAAAGAACAAAACTTTATGATAAACGTCGTAATTCATTTTCTTTAATTGTCAACTTTCTTTGAAAAAAGGAATAAACTATAACACCAGCATATGATTTGGTCTTCCAGTCGATACACAATATCCTGCTCTACGTAAGAAAAATTTCTAAAACAAGATTCAATTTTGACAATCAAGTTGATGAAACAAACGTTTGCAATTATCTTTTAGCAAGTTCTCTTGTCGACACAATGGCCTTATAATCAATCATTGCCTATCGAAAGCTCATCAATTACATTTTTCTTGTAAAGTGGTATGACATCATTAACACGAAACATTTCTTACGTATATTTCATTTAACTCACCATTACAAGGAGCACAAGTGGATGTGCCCGGCCAATAGGATATGCTTACTCCTTCACTGTACTTGATGTGATATTTTATAGCTCCAAGGAACCTCCAATTTTTTTTTGAGAGTTGTGTTTGCTCTTCAATCGATTTGGTTGTTTCAAATGATTCTGGGTGATTGGTTGTGGCCATTTTAGACTTTATTGATCTTCTTTAGAAGAAGAGTTACACATAAAGATTTACAAAAAAGATCAAAATTTAAAACTGAAATGTACGATTTTTTTTTTTGCCAATGCTGGGTGACAGCTCAAGATTTCACATCTTAGAAATCAAGGTATAACTGATGGTTTTTTATACGTATTCCTTATAAGTCAATGTTCACATCACATGATATTTATTGTGTATTTCTCAGTGATCGGAGGTTGTTCTTGAGATGAAGCTGAATGCATTGTATGACTTGTCCGTCCAGGCTACTTTACTCAAAGTCCATTCTTAATAAGGCATCCTACAGTGAGTGTAGTGGTTGAAGACTATCCCATATACTGTCCGTCCTGAATAAAGCATCCTACAGTATATGCGGTAGTCCGAGGACGACTAGGCTCTTGTATCAGGGTAGAACTATCAGTTGATTGTTGCAGGCCTCTGATTGTTATAGTAATTTTAAACATTTGATCTATAGCTAACGGTTTTCGAGGTTTCTGTTTCCATTGCTCTCAACTTGTATCATTTAAATGGACCTGTATACTTTATCTTAAGATTATACCTCTCATATTTATTCTTACTGCATTTTCCTATATATTAAATATATTTTAATTCTTAGACAAAGTCTCTGACATGAAGACATTAAGCAAATTTCTTGAATTGTTCTGGCACATAATGTTTAGTAATTGATCTGATTCCTTGCTGTAAATGCCTGAAAGGAATTTTGAAGCTGAAGATCCATTTATACAACGTCTAAATATTGCTCTCTTTGCTCATGGGCTTCTGGTAAGTAATTGAAATCGTTTCCTATCGTATGACGTTTCTGTGCCGATTCCACACTCAATCTTGTATTCAAAGCTATTCTGCCCTGTTCTACTTTGTAGTCAGCAGATGTAAACGATGGTTTATAAGCGATCTTTTTATCTGTAAGATTTCATATTTAGCTAGTTACTGTTATCAAAAAGACTATTATATCGTGTCTTATATCACGAAATGAAATGTTAAAATTTCGGTCCATACCCTTCAAAATTCTTTTTCCAATCAATCTAACTTTATAAATGGTGTAGCTGAAAAAGAAAAAAAGAAACACACGATTGATTCATGAAGATAATCTTACAAACCACAAAGGGACTATATAGAGTTTAATGTATGATCATAAGGATATGAGAAGAAAAAAACAAAATCATAGAAAACAATGTAAGCTTTTTTTTACAGACATTCTAAGTTTAAATGTATAGAAATAGAACCAGTTATTAGATCAACCTGGTCATTACAAAGATTCCAAATACTGAGATGGTAATAATGATCTGCAGGGTGAACAGTCCAGACAGATAAGTCAAACTGTTGTTCCAATCCTCCACAGTTATATCTGCGTTAGGCCTGCAGAAAAAAAAACAAACTCAACAAAAACAAGCTCCCATTTAAAGCGGAGTAACAACAAGATTTTTATTTCCTAATCATTTGAGAGTTTACTTTTTAATACATTTATCCAATACATACCTTGTTTTTATAACTTCAATTGATTCAGTTTTCATTTTCTGTTTAATATCTGAACAAAGATCATGAAAGAAAATAATATATAACAATTTGATTTTATTTTCTATATTTTATTTCTTTAATTTATGCTAATTATTGTAAAATAAAAACAATGCGGTTAGGATAAGCGTATCTCAGAGAAGTGTGAGGAATTATTTATTTATTTCATTTCATGGATGCTTTTATATTTGTATCATTTATTACACAAAAGATTGTATTCGTATGGATTTGTGATAACAATTCCAGTAAAGCTAATTAACATGTATTTTCATACCTAGACATGTTCCGTTAACTTTGTTACATTTCCCCATACATTCTTGTGGACACTCCTGCCTGCATTGTCTTCCATAAAATCCCTCAGGACAAATTTCAGTACAGTTTATACCAACTGTTCCTTCATAACATTCTGAAAAGAAGCATTATTTCCTTATTCCTGTTTTTTTTTCATGCAATTATGGTAAAAGGAAGAGATTTTTTTTTTCATTTTAATTCCTTCAAAAAATGATTTGTCCCAATTTTAAAAGAAAGGTTTTATTTTATCATGACCTTATAAAAAATGATATAAAAAATTAAATGTCCATGAAATTAAAAAAAAACTCACCTACAGAATCAAAATTTTACCAATCTATTGGTAAAATTTCATGAACCGCTCACGTGCAAAGAAAACAATCAATCAAAATATTAGGACATCAATTTCATCTAATCAGTTTATTGTCTGTTGTCTATTTTATTATTTTTTTTTATACATTATTTATTTCTTTGATAGATATCTTGATAGGATTTGCATGCTCATGCAGTTGATATTTACACTAGTACCTGTACATCTGCCTTTATAGAGAAAAAATCCAGCACAACAATTGTTCCTAAAAGTAAATCAAAATTTTCATTTTGTTTTTCTTAAAAAATTTTCAGCTAATTCTTATACATGTAATAACATTCATAGGCATCCTTATGGAGTTCTGATCAAGCCACTTTTAGAAATTAAAAATATTCATTTCTAAAAAGAAACTGAAG